CAGGGATGGGTGACCAAGGCGGTGGTGCCAGAGGAGAGTCTCGTGCGACAGGAGGCGACACGAATAGGGGGCAGACTCAGGACCAGACCTGGACGCTGCAGCAAACACCTGACCCGACGCAGCTACCTGACCAGACACAGTGACTGGAGGAGACGCAGTGGTCAGTGTGTACAGGCTCGACCCCGGCCGACGTGTAAACGTGGCCAGGTGTCGGCCTGTCCGAGCGTCCGTGCAGTGGGTCACCCGCTGACTCGCAGGAGTGAACTGGTGAACCCCCGCATCCTGTAGGTCAGCACCACTCACCAAGTTCGTAGAGAACGAGGGGAGGTAAAGACCAGACAGGGTCTTCTCAAAGACGGGGGTGCGAGGGTCACCACGAGAGGCTCCTACAGCGACTATGCTCTTCTCTGCTGCTAGGAGGGCCTTCTCGAGGAGGTCAACGGTGAGAGTGGTGGGGCAAACTGAGAGGAAGTGGTCCCTGACTACACGAAGGGAGTCAGGGAGCCGGGTGACTATGTAGTAGAGGGTGATGTACATGGGGGGGGGGTTCTTGGCGCAGAACTCAGCAGGAAGCGCAGCGCGGTAGCGAGTGTCACTAGTGCGGAGGTGCGTAATGAGGTCAGCGACTGTGGGAAAGGCAGCAAGGTCAGGGAAGAGGTACGGTAGCATGAGGCGGCTCAGTGCAGCAGTGGCAGGGGAGGAGTAGCGCGCAACTACAGCGTCGTACAAGGTGTGAGCACTCTTGTACTGGCTAAAGTGCGCACGCTCAGAGGTAGGCAGGTGGCGACGCACAGCTAGACGTGCAGCAGCATCGCGTGTGGCCCACTGTGAGCGAACAGTGGCGTCGGCATCACCAGCAGGGGCAGGAGAGGCACCAGAGGTGAGGTCAAAGAGGGAGAGACCGTCTGCCCTATCGCACTGTAAGAAAAGCTGCAGGTCATCTACCCAGACGTCAAAGTCAATGGCCCGACTCTCAGCGTCAAAGGCGAGGATACTAGGGGTAGCCATGACAGCAGTAGACTAGCAGTGTGAACAGTAGGGTAAGGGCAGTGCAGTGATAGAGGCGCTGCTCTTACCGGACAGGGCGGCTTGGGCGGCTCGGCGGCTCGGCGGCTCGGCAGGACGGCGGCTCGGGCGGCTCGGCGGCTCGGGCGGCTCGGGCGGCTCGGCAACTCGGCGGCCCGGGCGGTTCGGCGGTCGGCTGCTGGGCGGCTCGGCGGCTCGGCGGCTCGGCTGCTCGGCTGCAGGACGGCTCGGCGGCTCGGGTGCTCGGCTGCTGGGCGGCTCGGTGGCTGGTGTGGTTGGTGACGACCGCGGCAGCAGTCGCAGAAGCTGTGGCGACTGCTGCTGCAGAGACGGCTGCGGCTGCTGCCTCAGGGACGGCGGCTGCCGGCCGCTAGGGGCCGCGAAGAGCGGCGGAGAGGCCGTGAAGGGCGCCACGAGGGGCCGTCGAGGGCGGCGACAGGCCGTGAGAAGGCCGCGGAAGGCGGCTCGAGGGGCCGCGAGGGGGGGGCCGTAAGGGGCCGACTGGCGACGGGAGGGGCCGAAGGGGCCGCGGGAGGGCCCGTAAGGGTAGCGCGAGGGGCCGTAAGGGCGGCACGAGGGGCCGTAAGGGCGGCACGAGGGGCCGTGAGGGCGGCGCGACGGGCGCGACGGGCCGTAAGGCGGTGCGACGGGCCGTAAGGGCGGCACGAGGGGCCGTGAGGGCGGCGCGACGGGCGCGACGGGCCGTAAGGGCGGCGCGACGGGCCGTAAGGGCGGCGCTAGGGAGCCGTGAGAGGGCCGCTAAGGGCGACGCGACGGGGCCGTGAGGGGCCTAGCGAGGGCGCGACGGTAGGGAGAGCACACAGGGCGCGACTCGGGCCGGAGCGAAGCGCGCTCCGGGCAGGAAAAAAAAAATTCGTGGTGGTGGGCCCTAGGAATCGTTCCCACTAGGGAACCTGCTCGATACCATGAGAAGAAACGAGGAATGAGAATGACTAAGGGAAAGTTGGGTACAAAATGTAAACCCTAGAAAACTGTACCCCATATGTGCTACCCCACTATAGCCTACAGTAGCTATGTCATATAAATCTGACAAGAACGTCGGTTTGAAGGAACAGCACTATGGCAGCCACTATAGTCTTAGAACACAAATTTTGAAGAGTTATGAGTTGGGAATGACTCTGTAAGGAAAATCCCTTTTCGTTACTTCGCGTCCCTGATCAGCGCGTACACCACTGTTCCCGCCAACAGCACCCCACAATAATCCGTTACCACTCGCGACATTCGCCTCGACCCCATTCCCAGCACTGTTCACGATGCGACCCAACCTCACGGTTCGGTTGGTAACCCGCGCTCCGGACCTCCGCCTCGACATTCCCCAACCTCGGCACCAGGCCCGTCGCGCACCCCATTTTTCCACATGTTATTGTTACCACTGTAGCTTCGCTATATATTCTTCGCTCAATCCTTCGCTCATTGTATTCTTGTCTTGATAGTGCAATCCTCGCTCGCTCACTCAATTGCACTCGTAACACTTGGTTATCAGAGCCTACGATCTTCTCTCGGACCGCACCCACACCTTCGCTTCCCCACTATCTCAAAAATTTTGGGGGGGGTAGACGTCTCTCAGCGACCAAGCACCGCTGCTCATAGTGCTCTCTCGTAAGCACGCACGACCACGACAGAGGCTCTCGCTGAGCTTGCCTGACGCCCCTGCCATGGCTGAAATCACTCTCGCGACACTGACGCAAGCGCAGCTCGACCGTCTTGTACGCCAACTCGAAGATTCGGCCCTCGAAATCGCCACACTCACGGCGCAATGCGACTCCGCTCGCCAGCAATCGACAGTGAATGCACCAGCACCAACAAATGCACCTGCACAATCCGAGGAGCCGATCATCATCTCATCAGGCACACCGACACAGAACGACAGCGTGGGACAGCACTCAGGCGTAGCCAGTGAGGGTGCCGCTCACTCAATGCATGGCATGGAGAGAAACAGGGCCGCACCAAGCCCACGAGAGCCCCGTGAAGACCATCGGCACGTGGAATTTGCAGCGACAAGTGGCGAGTACGCCGTCACGGCACCAATGCCACTCAAGCCGCAGCGTCCGCCCTGTTTCGACCCGAGCCAACGTGGGGGTCCAACGGTTCAGTCGTGGGTCTTCACGATGAACGTTTCTTCGACGCGAACTACGTCGAGTCGGACGCAGCGAAGATTCGCTACGCTGTTTCGCTGCTGAGGGGCGATGCCATGGACTGGAGGCGAGTCATCGTGACGTCGCTACGCGCCTACGAGCCACCGTCGCAAGAAGACGGGCCCACGGGCCCAGCCGTCACCTGGAGTTCATTATGCGAGACAGCCCAGTACAGCACGTGGGATGCATGGTGCACAGGGCTTCGGGCGCGTTTCGAGCCGATTGCGGCTTCGATTTTGGCGCGTCAGAAGCTGCGCACTTGGCGGCAGCTCGGATCGGTTCAAGACTACACGAGCGGTTTTCTTGCATTATGTGAGCAAGTCGGCTATATGCACGAAGCGGAGCGGGTGGACCGTTACGTCAGAGGGCTAGAGCTAGACATCTTGTCAGAATGTATTTGCTGTTTAGCCTGCAGTGGGGTACTCTGCAGTGAGCACAACCCAATTTAGGGTTTGCTATTTGTATCCCAACTTTCTATAATGAAACCCCTCATTCTTCCTTCTCGACTTTCCAAACCCAAAATTCTCTCGACACTCATGCCCTGAACCCAAGCCATGGTTCCTAAATCAAGCTAGATTCTAACATGCTATCAGAGTAGGTCGTTCCTAGGACCTCACATTAATGGGCCCACCACCTGATGCCCTGCTAGCCTAGGCCCCAGCCCGTCGCCCCTTGGCGTCGCCCCTAGCCCCTAGGCTTGGCCCCTTGGCCCCGTCGCCCCTAGCTCGGCCCCTCGGCCCCGCTGGCCCCGTCGATTCCGTCGCCCGCGCCCGGCCCGTACCTAGCCCGCGATCGGCCCGTACCTAGCCCGCGCCCGGCCCCGTCTCGCGCCCACGCCCGGCCCGTACCTAGCCCACGATCGGCCCGTTCCTAGCCCCGCGCTCGGCCCGTACCTAGCCCGCGATAGGCCCGTACCTAGCCCGCGCCCGGCCACGTCTTACGCCTGCGCCCGGCCCCGTCTCTCGCCCGCGCCCAGCCCGTACCTAGCCCTGCGAATGGCCCTGTCCCTCGCCAGCGCCCGGCCCCGTACCTCGCCCGCGACCGGCCCGTTCCTAGCCCCGCGCCCAGCCCGTACCTAGCCCGTGCCCGGCCCCGTCTGTCGCCAGTGCCTGGCCCCGTACCTAGCCCGCGCCCGGCCCGTATCACGCCCGCCCCCGGCCCCGTACTTAGCCCGCGCCCCGGCCCCGTACCTAGCCCCGCGCCCGGCCCCGTACCTAGCCCGCGCCCGGCCCAATACCTAGCCCGCGCCCGGCCCCGTTCCGCGCCCAGCGCCCGGCCCCGTACCTGCCAAGCGCGCGGCCCCGTACCTGCCCAGCGCCGGCCCCGTACCTGCCCAGCGCCCGGCCCTGTACCTGCCCAGCGCCCGGCCCCGAACCTGCCCAGCGCACGGCCCCGTACCTGCCCAGCGCCCGGCCCTGTACCTGCCAGCGCCCGGCCCTGTACCTGCCCAGCGCCCGGCCCCGTACCTGCCCAGCGCCCAGCCCTGTATCTGCCCAGCGCCCGGCCCGGTACCTGCCCAGAGCCCGGCCCCGTACCTGCCCAGCGCCCGGCCCCGTACCTGCCCAGCGCCTGGCCCCGTACCTGCCCAGCGCCCGGCCCCGTACCTGCCCAGCGCCCGGCCCCGTACCTGCCCAGCGCCCGGCCCCGTACCTGCCCAGTGCCCGGCCCCTTACCTGCCCAGCGCCCGGCCCCGTACCTGCCCAGCGCCCAGCCCCCTACCTGCCCAGCGCCCAGCCCCGTACCTGCCCAACACCCGGCCCCGTCCCTAGCCCAGCACCCGGTCCCGTACCTGCCCAGCGCCCGGCCCCGTCCCTAGCCATGGCCCCGTCGCCCCTAGCCATGGCCCCTCGCGACCTGCCGCCCCTAACCGCGGCCTCGGTGCCCTGTTGCAACATGGTGGGTGAGGGGGTGGCAAGAGGGGGTTCCTCCTGCCTGCGTGCCCTACAGTCGTACGCGCAGCTCCGCCCCCGCTCCCCTCCCCCCCCTCCCCCCCCTCCATGGGGATGGTGGGGAGAGGGTGTGAGGGGGTGGCGGATGTGCCTCAGCAGCAGCAGCTGCCGCCACGCCTCCTCCTCTCTCTCTCCCTGCCGCACCTTGTGGTGGGAGAGGGGGGGGAGCTTGGAGGTTTAGGGGAAGGCAGGAGGGGATCTGCAGCACCGAACCCCCCCCCCCCCCCCCTCATCCTTCTCCTACCTCCCCCTGCTGCGGGTGCAGCAGTGGGGGGGAAGCGATCTGCCATCCCCCTGCTGCGGATGCGGCAGTGGGGGGAGGGGACCTGCAGCACCAGCCCCCCCCCGCCCCCCCCTTCTCCTCCATCTCTCTGCTGCGGGTGCAGCAGTGGGGGGAGGGTATGGCGGTGGCGGGTGTGGCCAACCTGCTGTCGCCCGAGCGGCTCCTGCACCGCCCCTTCTCCTACCTCCCCCCTGCTGCGGGTGCAGCAGTGGGGGGGGAGGGGATCTGCAGCACCAGCCCCCCCCCCCCGCCCCCCTTTCTCCTATCTCCCCCTGCTGCGGGTGCAGCAGTGGGGGGGAGGGGATCTGCAGCACCAACCCCCCCCCCCCCTCCCCCCTTCTCCTCCATCCCCTGCTGCAGGTGCAGCAGTGGGGGAGGGTATTGTTATAGTCACAATAGGCTTGAATGTGCCTAAAACGAAAGATAGAGAGCACAGACGGATTTCTGCACAGCGGTTTCAAACGTTTATAGCGTTCTGCTCACAGCTGCAAATGACTTGATTCAAATTGGATCTGAAGCGTCTTTACATTGTCTACAATAAGCAATTTAGATTGCACGATTTGATAAAGAATTGACGACACAGCGTCGGTTTGAACGAACGGTACTATGGCAACCACTATAGTCTTAGAACACAAGATAGGAAGAGTTACGAGTTGGGAATGACTCCCAGCTCCTACAAAGCCCAAGAGCCGAGGTACAGTGATGTGGAACAGTGCCACACTGTCCCCAACCACGAAGGGTCTCGAAACTACCCTCCACATGGGCCTACACCAAGAGAAATGTTACACTACACAAAGTAATGTAACTATTCTCACTATCTTAAAGTTTACCCTTTTTGAGAGCTCCGAAATCACTTGATTCTTGAAACCAAGGCTCTGGTTCTTCAAGGTAAATTCTTCCTTGAGTTCTTGGAAGTCTGCTGCGCACACCTGCGACACGCCGAACGTTCCACATACGACAAAATAGAAAACCGCACACGACACGCAAACGACGACGTGACACGCGACTAGCGATAACTCGCTATTGACTCGACACACACATTCAAACTCATGCCTCATCATTCACACACTATTGTAAGCATGAAATATATATTATTTCATGCCCTCGTACCATTCCATGCACACACGCATGCACGCACACGGACAACAAGCCGAATGCAAACCGTAGGGTTGCACCAACAGGTATGGGGGTGGCGGGTGTGTGAACCGTCCCCTGCTCCTCCTCCTCCTCCGTCTCCCACTGCTGCAGCTGCCGCTGAGGGGGGTGGGTGTGTGGGAGCCGAGGGAGTGGTGCTAGGGGGGTGAAGTGGGAGTGGAGCTAGGGGTGCAGCAAGGGGTGTGTGAAAGGGGGGTGGGACAGTTGGGGGAGGTTGAGCGGAGGCTGCCGTCTTGTCGACCGCAGCACCTGTAGTCCGGGGCTCTGCTTCTGGTAGCTCAGAGAGCCTGTTGCGCCTGTCGCCCGTGGGTCCGTTGCTCCTGCCGCTCAGAGTTAGCCGCAGAGCCAGTTACTCCTGTAGTCTGGGGCCCTTGCTCCGGTAGCCACCGTGCGCGCTGCTCCTGTTGCCCGTGTGTCTGCAGCATCAGCCGTCGCCTCCTATCTCCTCTCCTCTCACAGTCCAGCCTCCTCCTCCTCACTTGCCCTTTGTGAATGCCTCTAGCTTTGCTTGTACTGGTGAACCTGCTCTATGACTGCTTGCTCTGCTGATTATACCCCACTTTGACTATGGGGGTGTGTAAGAATGTATTTGCTGTTTAGCCTGCAGTGGGGTACTCTGTAGTGAGTACAACCCAATTTAGGGTTTGCTATTTGTATCCCAACTTTCTATAGTGAAACCCCTCATTCTTCCTTCTCGACTTTCCTCACCCAAAATTCTCTCGACACTCATGCCCTGAACCCAAGCCATGGTTCCTAAGTCAAGCTAGATTCTAACACATCTCGCACGAAATCATGCTACGCAGGCTCTCGACTTTCAACGAGATCCTTGCGCTCGCCGAGAAAATCGACATCCTACGACGACTGAGACCGGGGTCCTACTACGGACAACGTCCTCGGGGACCAATCGAGCACGCCACCGTACACGCCGTTGCGACAAATGCAGTTGCCGCACCATTTAAGGGGCGCTGCTTTGCTTGCAATAGGCCGAGCCATCGCAAGAGTGAATGCCCAGAGGAGCTGAGGCGGCGCGGAGCAGAGCAGGGGCGAGAGTCTCAGAGGCTGGGAAACGCCAGCATTCAGTAGAAGTTGGGCCAACTACTGACGAGACTGCCTGCTCGCCCAGCTTCACTGACCCTCATCGAGTCACAGTACCGATTCACCTATCGATAGGGCTCGGACAAATAAGGAGGGTACAGCGACGGATTGCCCAGTACTGATCCACGGAAAAATACAGGGAGCAGCAGTGAAGATTTTTATAGACGGAGGCGCAAGTCACAGCTTAGTTAACACCGCGACTGCAAGGAAGCTGCAACTAACACTTAGTCGGTGTTTACCGGAGATAGATGCACGCGTAGTTGACGGAACGCCGCTGGCCATACAGGAAAAAGTGGAGAGAGTAAAAGTCCGCTGTGGGGGAAACTTCGGGTTTACACAGGAAATGCTCGCGACGACATTGGATGGGCACGACATTTTACTAGGACGTGAGTGGCTGCGACGGTACAATCCGCGAATCGACTGGACGACGGGTAGCTGCACTGTGCGAAGTAGCGGTAACTGGGTCGAACTACCTCGCTGGCAGTCGCCTGAGTCTTCAACGGTCCACGTCAACGCCATCACGATGAAACGGGCTGTCGCCACTGGAGGTGATGTGTACGCGGTAGATATCGCAATGGTAGAAGAAGAAGAGCAGCCGAGCGATTTTCAGAAACTACTGGTGGCAGTAACACCCGAACTACAGGAACTATTGAAACAGTTCCCAAGGATTTTTCCCGACGACTTACCGGAGAGACTGCCACCTCAGCGGGCGCACGATCACCGAATAGAATTAGAACCCGGGGCACAGGCAACCGTACAGCGATAGTTCAGACTGACACAGCCCGAGCTCGATGAACTCAGGAAGCAGTTAGATTACCTGTTAGAGAAAAAATTCATCCGACCGAGCTCGTCGCCATTCGCCGCACCGATCCTGTTCACACCGAAAAAGGACGGAGGGTTTCGCATGTGCATCGACTACAGAGCACTGAACAGGGTTACAGTCAAATTGCGATACCCCATCCCCCGCGCCGACGAACTGATAGATCAACTACGAACAGCACGGGTCTTTTCGAAAATCGACTTATAGGGAGGTTACCATCAGATTCGGGTCGAACCATCGGACTGCGCCAAGACAACATTTAGGACTAGGTACGGATCATTTGAGTACACAGTGATGCCTTTCGGGCTGACCAACGCACCGGCGACTTTTCAGATGACCATGAACGAGGCGTTTAGACCACACTTAGATAAATGTGTGATCATTTACCTCGACGACATTCTAGTCTACAGTCGGGACAAGCAGCAGCACTTCACCGATTTAGAAGCAGTATTTACAGTCTTAGACAAACACAGACTACTGACCAAGGGTTCAAAGTGCGAGTTCTTTCAGGATCGGCTAGAATTTTTGGGGCACGTTATTTCGGAGGCTGGAGTAGAAATCGACCCGAAGAAACTGGACACGGCAAAAGCGTGGCACCCCCCTACGAACATCACAGAGCTGCAGAGTTTTTTAGGGTTCGTTAATTACATGCGGTTCGTCCCCGACATGGCACGCTTAACTGCTCCGCTGACGGACTTACTGCGGAAGGGGGTCGCTTTTACGTGGGGGGAAAAAGAGCATGCTGCCTTCTCTACCCTGAAAAACGTTCTCTGTTCACCGCCCGTATTGCGCATCGCCGACCCAAACCGCCCATTCAAAGTGGTTACCGACGCAAGCAACATCGCCATTAGAGCCGTACTGCTACAGGATTTCGGCAACGGACAGCCCATCGCATACGAGTCACGAAAACTGCATCCGCCCGAGAAGAATTACCCAATACACGATCGCGAAATGCTTGCGATTGTGCATGCATTCAAAGTGTGGCGCTGTTACTTGACCGGCGCCAACGTGACAGTACGGACAGACCATAAATCACTACAGTACCTCCGCGCACAACCCCACCTCAACCCACGACAAATTCGCTGGCTCGACTACCTCGAGTCAAATTTTCACAACACGGTCACCTACAAACAATACAGTGATCATACCCTAGCAAGTGCAAGCATGTAGGTATATATAAAGATCACAGTACAAGCAGAGTCAAGCAGCAAGCGAGGCAAAGTAGGCACAAGGCCTAACACAGTAGAGAAGCGCTGATGATCACCAGGCGGAAGTGCCTTGGTGAATATATCAGCAGTGTTGGCCCTAGTGGCCACATACGCAAGACGAAGCTGGCCACGCTGCTGCAACTCTCGAGCAAGAAAGTATCGCAGAGCGATGTGCTTCGTTCTGTGCTCCAGTCCATGCTCCTGACGCAAGGCAATCATGGCCTTGTTGTCGACGTATAGAACTGGAGGCGAACGAGGTTGCTCTCCCAAGCCAGTCAGTAGGTAGGTGAGCCAGCGTAGCTCCTGAGCAGCCATGGCCCCGACGTAGATCTCATCCTCACAACTGGAGCTGAGAACCAAAGACGAGCGGGTAGACTGCCAAGAAACAGAGCCGGAACCAAGGCTGAAGGTGTAACCCTGTGACGACCGCTGCGTAGCTGAGTCGTCAACCCAGGAAGCGTCTGCGTGACCGGTGAGGACAACTGGACCCCGTCCTCGAAGCACGAGCCCCATGCCCGACGTACTGCACAAGCAACGCAGTACCCTCTTTGCAGCATCCCAGTGCACCTTTCGGTGCCTACCGAGAGCCACGTAGCGAGCCAGGAGGCTAAGAGGGTACGCGAGGTCAGGTCGTGTGCAGGTCATCAGGTACATGAGGCAACCCACAAGCTCTGGATACGGACCACTCGGCTCTACGGACTCGTCCAAAGGTGGAGCTGAGAGCGAGCGGCTGGTAGACAGAGGAGTGGGATGTGGCGAGGAGAACTGGAAGCCGAAGCGCTGAAGGACCTGGTGCACCATGTGTGACTGAATCAGGGTGATGGTGCGCCGTGCTCTGTCCCGGGTGATCTGCAAGCCAAGATAGCTGCGCAGTTCACCCAGGTCAGTGTAGGCGTGTCTCTTCTGCAGCTCCGACTTCACAAGGGTCAGTGCCTCTGTGTCAACAGTGGCAAAGACGAGGTCGTCCACGTACACGATGACATAGAACGGCGGCAGCAAGGTGTCAGTGCGTAGAAACGGAGATGGGTCAGCAGTAGCAGGAGCAAACCCAAGAGCCGCAAGTGTAGTCCTCAGTGTGTCGTGCCACTCACGAGGCGCCTGGCGGAGACAGTAGACTGGCCGCCGGAGGCTCCACTG